GCGCTATCTTTTGATAAAAAAAGTGTTTGAATCATATGAAGAATAAAGAGAAAATATTCAAAATACAAACAGTATAATTTATTCTGGCCCACCCGTTATCTTAATAATGAAATAGATGAATTACAAAAAAGTCAAAAAAGGCTTTATGATCAACTTTATCAATACAACGAAACGATTGAAGAAAACAGTTTATTGAACAAATTAAATGCAGACTTAATTAGTAAAACTGATGAAAAAAGTTTTCTTGATGAGGAGCATCAATTATTACTCGAAGAACGACAAGATATTGACAAACAAATTGAAAATTATCAACAAAAATTGGATATTTACGAAGTTGATTTTAAGAGTAACGAAAAACATTTAGAAATTCTCCAATCAAATGTTAAGCACCTTGAACAAGATTTGGAAGATCCTCATAAAAAAAAGAATCAAATGAAAAAAATCTTTCGGAATTAAGAAAAAGATTCATTGAAAAACAAAGTGAAGTAAAAAAAGATGAAAAACAGCTTCAAGTTCTTAATGAAAAACTTTCTCAATCGAATTATTTGAAAACATTTATTAAAGAACTGATTGAATATAAACAAAAATTAGCAAAAAAAGAAGATTCACCGGCAACTTTGACTCGAATTCAAAAAGAATTAGATCAAATTCCAAAAAGTTTCCAAAATCAACTGGAGGAAATCAATAATCGACGATCAGTCATTGCAAATGAAATCAAAATAAAACAGACAAAAATAAATGATTTACAAAAAGATTTCGATAAAATCATAACAACAACAATCGATTTTACAACAAGTTCAACAATGTCAATGTGAGTTTTCATGAATTTCGATTAAAATCTTAATTTTTCAAATGAATTTATTTGATTTTAGAATTGAAGAGGAACGAGATATACGATTAGCACAAAATGAAGAAGATATTCAATTAGACTTAGATCTAATACATGATGAAAAAGAGAATGTCAAGAAAATTAAATCAAAACTGAATGACCTTGAACAAGAAATTGGAAGACTTGAAAAAAAAATTAGCAAAACTCATGATGATCATGAAGAAGCTAAGCAAAACAATGAAGAGCTTAAAGATCGAAGAGAAAGTCAAATGAACGAAATTCAATTAAAAGATCGAGGAATGAAACTTGATCAGCAAAAATTAAATTTTCTTTTAAGAAAAATCCAACAACATCAAAAAGAGTTCAATGATTTACAGAGTTTAAAAGAAGATCTTCATAAACAACGAAATGAGATGTAAAAACAGACTAAACAATTTGTTCAATCAAAGAAAATTTATACAACAAACGAAATGAAAACAATCGATTTGAATAAAGAAGAAGAAATTCGGCAAACTGAAAATGAAATTTTCGATTTAGAAATAGAAGACAATCAATTAAATGAAAAAAAAGAAACATTACAAATATTATCTGAAACCATTTCAGAAGATAGCGATAAACTTCAAAAAATTTTTCAAGATGAAAAACGACAATGTAAAAAAATTAAAAACCAAATTCAAAGACTTGAAGAAAAGCTTCAATCATCGGTTATTGTTATTGAATTTGCTGAGAAAAATATCAAGGATAACGAAGAAAATCGAAAAGAATTCGAAAATTTTCTACGAACTCAAACAACGGAAATTATTCTTCGACATGTTGAACTTCAAAGTTCCCAATTAACTAAATATCAACTTGGAAATCAATCTCATTTAGCAAAATCTCAAGTAAAAATCCTGGAAGACGATTTAAAACAATCGAAGATAAAATTAGACGGAAATAAAAAAGAAACTGAAAATGTTCAAAAAACAATTCGTGATCTTCAAAGAAATATTGATCACGAACATCGATCAAACATTGATATTCATTATGCAAAATTAAATGCAAAAGTTCAAATAAAATTTATTAAACACGAAATTTCAAAAATGCCAGAAAATATTGAACAACTGAACAACGAATTTATGAAGATCGAACCTGAATTAAATAGAATTTCAACTGAAATCAAATTTGTTTATCAAAAATTATTTGATTGTGCACGAAATTTGGTAGAGGTTCAACCGGAAATCTTAAGTAAACAATTTAAAATCAATAATTATCATCATGAGATAGCTGAAAAAGAAGATGTTCATCGAAATTACAATGAGCAGCAAAGTGAATTTACAATCGATCAATATATTTATCTTTATCCGGCACCTCAGCCAAAGACTATTGAATGAAAATAGATGCCTTCTTATTTTTATCCCAGTTGATACGTTCTTCTCCTTTTTCTCCTTTATAATCCTTGGATAAAAAATCCTTCAATATTAATAAAACTCTAAATATCTATCACTACTGTGGGGGAAACATGAGAACGATGTTTAAAATACTTTATATTTCTGTTTGATGTAGACGAGAAAAACGTGTTGATCAAAAAAAGTAGTTCATTGAAAGTCATGTCGAGTCAGCAGGTTTTAGAGGCAATTTCTTCTAAACTTTCAGTTGTACCAATCAGTCATGGATATTCGTCATTGTTAAATGCCAGCTCCGAGGCACGATTCTGAACTGAGAACAAAATTAAGTTGAGAATTCAAAGAAAATTTAATACAAGTTTCTACTCAAACTTAAGCCAATCATTTAAAATGTTCGAAAAAATATCAAGTGTCTCGGTCATTGTTCCAGAACAAGAGCCATTTCGATCGAACTTTCTTATCCGAAAAACTTCAAATATATACGATTCATCAATTCCAATCAATTTGATAAGGGTGTGGGTGTCAGTGTGGGTGTGGGTGTGGGTGTGGGTGTGGGTGTGAGTGTGGGTGTGGGTGTGGGCGTCGGTGTGGGTGTGGGTGTGGGTGTGGGTGTGGGTGCGGGTGTGTGTAGGTGAACAGGAGACTAAGGCTTACATCCACATCCACACCCATACCCACACCCACATCCACACCCATACCCACATCCACATCCACACCCACACCCACACCCACACCCTATTTTGCAATTTTCTCTGAAGCGATAAAGAGTTAAGAGTTGAAATTTGGAGTATCCATTCTATATTTAGCGGTCTACTTTGGCTGAAAATTATTCTGATTATGATATAGTAGAGCTCGAGATACATAAAAAACAAAAAAGAAAAACGTGACGGGACATTTAGCGAGGAAGGCACATTTTCAGATTTGAAATTTTTTATTTTTGATCTAATAAAAAATATTATAGATTTCTTTCACATCACATCTTCTTTTCTTTTCTTTGGTCTACCTTCTGGCTATAATTGAATAGGGCTTCATTCAAGTTTTCATTCCAGAAAAAACGGTTGACTGCGTGATGGGACATTTTTCACCAAATCTGCGACCACGAATACTTCGAGTAAGTACAAACTAAATAACAGCAACTTGGCTGAATCAAATAGCAAATTTTCTAGCCAATCTTACGGAGATACTAATGAGTTAAAATGAATTT